GGTGCTGTTCTTATTGCATTGGTTTTTTAGTTGTAATCTGCCTTAAGCCTTAGTAAGAAAGGCAGGCTGTAATCGAATCAAGTAAATGTTGCAGTTGTAATTAAAGCTCAGTAGCGTACTGTTCCATGAGAGTTCGTTGTTCACGTACATATTTAAAATAATGATTAGGGAGAGACCGTAAAAGGGCACTGAAGTGCCCGAATTCTTTTTTAAAAAGCTTATGCATAATTCCCCAAAATCTGCAGACGAGGTCCTTGGTGGGTCTCATCAGACAAATTTTTTCAGAGCCATGTGGCTACAGCTGGAACAGTGCTATCCTCGTTCTCTTCCAATCTTTTCTCCTTCCGCATGGAACATTACGCTGTTAATTTCTTGTATGCTTTTTGCTCGGCACAAAATGACTTCACATTGTCTGTTAACAATGACACAGCGCTCTCTTTTGCCCCAGAAGTCAATGGGCAGAGAGCTTGCATGAGGAGAGAGACTCCATATAGGAAGGTCAAGGCATTTATAACAATGACTTGGACTCCTTTTACGGGCTGCTTTGGCTGCAAGTTCTTTTGATGTTCCTTCTTACCAGTTTTGGTTGAGGTAGGAATTGCTGAAATCGGCAGCGCTACGGAGAGTATGCCCTGACCTGGATAGCTCAAGCTAGCCAGATCTCGGAAGCTAAGCAGGGTCAGCCCTGGTTCGTACTTACATGGGAAATGACCAAGGAAGTCCAGGGTTGCACGAGAACATGGACATTTCATGTGTGAGACGTTTTGACTTAGTTCTCTATAGAGCAGAGCTACAGAGAAAGAAAGCTGAAGAAACCGACCGAGTAATAGCCCACTAGGGCAGGGTTTTTCTGTGGTGATCTTGTTTTTCTACCTAATGTCAAGGGTATGTAGATGATTGCCCAGGAACATTCTGTAAGAAAGCAACCGGTCTGGGTAGGGAACTGAACAATCTTTGGGTATGTATATAGAGGCCCTGACCCGGATAGCCCAGGATCTCAAACTTGTCAGATCTCAGAAGCTAAGCAGGGTTGGCCCTGGTTAGTACCTTGGATGGGCGACCACCGAGGAAGTTGGATCACTGTGTAGAGACAGGCAGTGGCAAACCACCTCAGAATGTCTCTTGCCTTGAAAACCCCATGAAGGATTGCCGTAAGTCACCTGCGACTCGATGGCGCTTTCCACCACCGGTTCCTTATTTACCCTAACTTGCATGGCCCAGACTAGCCCAGTCTCAGTAAGCTAAGAAGGGCTGGCCCTGGTTAGTGCTTGGATGGGAGACAATGAAGGAAATTGAGGGTTGCTATGCAGAGGAGGCAGCGGCGAACCATCTCTGCTCATCTCTTGCCCTGAAAATCCCATGAAGGGTTGCCATAAGTCGGTTGCAACTTGGCGGCACTTATTATATTAAAAGGCACACCGGCCCTTACAGTATTGTTTGGCTATGAATTGAGACTGCACTGATGTCTGGGAATCGATAGCGTTCTGCATACACGGTCATTAATGTATTAATCTGAATAGCACACTTTAGCCTGAGTGCGTCAGTTCTGGGAAACTAAGCCAGATTGGCTATGGTTAGTACTTGGATGGGAGACTTGGGTTGCAACTTTATGGCACATTATTCCGTCTTTTGTCTTATTTTGCTCCAGCCTACTAACATATGGCTACCCTAACCTCTCTTGCTGACCTTGGTGCATGGAAACAGAGTAACTGTGCTTATCTTCTCCTTGCATTCCCACAGTGAGGGGGGGGGGGTTGAGGGGGACCTTCCTCGCAGTGAAAAGCTTGCCTCTCCTTGGCTTTGTTATCAGTGTGTGGGTTATCCTGTGCAGGTTGGGAACAGCATGTAGGCAACAGATCTTCCAGCTGTCCGTTCTGTTGCTGGAGGGGGCTGATTATAACCCTGCCTATTCTGCACTGGGCCAGCTCTCGGGGTTGCCTTTTCACCATGAACTGGAGAGCTTATCATTTTCTGCAAGTTGCAGGTGAAACTTTTGTGTTTGCATATTCTCTCTCGTGGTGGTTCTATAAACAGTGTCAGGATCTGCAGGGCACCATGTGTTAACAGTTTGTCATATACAGCCTGAGACTTTCTAAGTTAAAAGTGATGACACTGTAAACTCCTTAAGAATTGGATGGGCTTGAATATCTTTGAACATAAGAAGAGCCGTGCTGGTTCAGACCAGTGGTTCATCTAGTCCAGTACTGTCATGGGTCGTGGCTCCTGTCAGGTTCCACAGCAAGTCACTCTTCACACACGTTTCCTAAGAAGCGTTATGCTTTATTAGTGTACAAGACTGGTACCATATCCACAGGATTATTGTTAGGAATAACTAGAAGGCGGGAACATCCCAATACATATAGCTGGGCAAGGCAACTAGGTAAGCAAATGAACTTTGAGCGCGCGGGCGGGAATACTCCCGGCGGGAGATTACATAATGAGCGGGAGAGTCGCAGGGTTTCCTGAGAGCAGAAAGATTCACACCAAAAGTGAACCGCAAGCCCTCCCTACCTCACAAGGCCAGACTGATAACGGCGTCTAGCTCCCACGGTCTCCCTGGCATGTTTACTGCGAGCTGCTGAGCTGCACGCAAGCGGGAACAGGGAAGGGCAGAATACCCAGAAATGGCAGCTAGCTGACATCTCCGCTGAGGCTGACTATGCCTCAGGTGAGGAAGAGGCATGGAGCAACCCAGCCTCCTCTGGAGTCAGCCCGGAGGAGGAACTTTTACCAGCACCTGAGGGAGAAGAGTCCCCAGCATCTGTGCAGGAGGGGCAGCAAGGTGAAGAGACTGAGGTGCAGTCAGAGGGAGAGACTGATCCAGAGCCTGGCTCAGCACCCCCAGTTGGAGACACCCCGAGGCCAGAATCCCCACTTAGCTCACCTGATTGTCCCAGATGCAGAGCACGCCAGCGTCTGAATGTGTAAGGGAGAAGGAGTGCCAGACTTAAGCTGTTGCAAAGGCAACGTGAGGGGCTGTGAGTCTTTGCAGATTGACTCCCAGGGAAGGGAGGACCTGGTCATAAACAACCCCACTCACCTGCCTCGGCATGGAAGCAACTGTGCGTTCTCGGACCTAGTCCCAGCTGTCAGCCTCCGCTCCTTGCTCCTGAAAACTCTGACTGATTTCCCGGCTTTCTGACCTTCAGCTCTGTTTCTCGGCTTGCTTTTGGACTGCGTATCCAGCTTTCTGTGAAGGGTATTCGTGGTGACCGGCCATACCCAGCACAAGTACCCTGTCTCACACAGTGGGCAGTCAGTTCCCCTGGAGGGCCAACAACAGGGCAAAGAGGTTGAAGCCTTCCCCTGATGTTGTCTCCTGACTCTGGGATTCAGAGGCTAACTTCCTCTGAATGTGGGGGTTCCCTTTAGTCACCATGGCTAGTAGCCATTGATAGACGACTCCTCCATTAATGGTCTATCTGTTCCCATTTTAAAGGTGACTATGCCTGTGGTCATCACTACATCTGCTGGCAGCAAATTCCACATGAATTTCTGTTTATGTGGCTGTTCCACAACAGAGGTAGCAATACACAAAGACTAGTAATTAGGGGCAGGCAGAAACTGAACCACGAAGCAAAATGTGTCACACATTTTGCCATGTTCACGTTTTGGGAACAGAGGTTCATGACAGGTCTGTGCTCACAAACTTTCCCAAACTTTTAAAGCAGTTTACAGTGGTTCGTGGATAGAGCAGAAAGCAGAGGTTTAAAGGAATTCCCAGTCCCTTTAAACGCATTTTCTCTTTTCCGTACGGAAGCTGCCAAAACAGATGAGCTGTTTTGGGCTGTCTTGTACAGTCCCTTTGAATGTTAAAGGGAGTGCACAAGATAGCCCGAAACAGCTGAGTGGCAGATTGCTCCCCGCTGCTCAGCTGTTTTTTTGACTTTCTGCAAACCCTTTCTGTGGTCCCTTTCAATGGGGTTTGCAGGGCTACGAACCAGTACGGTTCACGAACAAATCGCCTATGAACCGAACAACATTTCCGTACGGGAGCTGCCAAAACAGATGAGCTGTTTTGGGCTGTCTTGTACAGTCCCTTTGAATGTTAAAGGGAGTGCACAAGATAGCCCGAAACAGCTGAGTGGCAGATTGCTCCCCGCTGCTCAGCTGTTTTTTTGACTTTCTGCAAACCCTTTCTGTGGTCCCTTTCAATGGGGTTTGCAGAGCTACGAACCAGTACGGTTCACGAACAAATCGCCTATGAACCGAACAACATTTTCCCCGTTCGTACCCATCCCTACTAGTAATGTCAGCCCAATACAGTTCTGCTGTTTATCCAGACATCTGTGCGTGTGTCGAAAGCTTGAGGGCATCGTTATGATCTGTAAAAACAGAGTCTTGGGCCCATTTCCAACTTACGGAGGGGAAGAGAATCTGCTTGCCTAAGTAACGGGCTTGACATTTGGAGCTGTTTTTGCACAATCTTGTCTTCAATATGCAGGGCCGTTTGCCCTGCTCTGAGGAAGGAATTTTACGCAGAAATAAGCTGCAGTAAACAACTTACTCTGCAAGATCAAGGCCTTTGGAGAATTTGTAGTCGCTTTAGGAGGCATACATAATGGGAGGAGGGAAATGTCTGGAGCCATGGTGGACGATAGGGATTGACGGAAGGCAGTGGAGCTGTACTCTCTCCACTGTCAGCCCCTGCCTTCTCTAACTTCTTGGGCTTCACTTTGCTCATTTGTATTCATGCCTTTCTCAAAAGGTGTAGAGACTTTTGGCTTTAAAGGTAACAAATCAGTGTCTAGGGGGTTCTCAAGCTGTTGAACTGTGTGGCAGGGTTACCGTATTTGTCTGGCAATGATGTAAGCGCAGGAAGTCATATAATGGAGCCAGGTATGAACACAGAGCTCCAGAGATTTCCTGACTTGAGAATTTTGCAGCTTCTTTTTGCCTACTCCGTGCCACCCCAACCTCTGTGTATGCTCATTTCAGATGGTTTGAGAAGTGATTGTTACTATCATTATGACCCTTCTCTTTCTCCCTTGCTTTTCCAGCACTTGTCCCGCCACGCTGTCTTCTGCCCTGGCTCAGCAATATGACCGAAGGCTGGGTGGATTGCCCCTCACTGGGGCCCGGCTGGCAGCGCCGTGAAGTCTTGCGCAGAAACGCAACAAGACCAGGACAGTCAGACACCTATTATGTAAGGTAATGTTGCTTAGGTCACATTTCGAAAAGGGCTGGGGTGGTGGTGGTGGTGAGGAAGAACCTTCAGTCCCATAAGGGCTCATCCTTGGGAACGGGGGTACCCTACGAGACTAATCTCTTCCTGACATGGGAAAACTTCTCTGGCTGTTCCAAAATGCAAAGAATATGGGTTACTTGAGAATGCTACGTACGGAGGATCCTGGAGTCTCCCAAGTGGTGGGTTTCTACCCTCCTCTTGAATCTTTCAGCTTTTTTTGGAAGCAAACATTCTGTCTTCTTGTTTTGCCTTTCTTGTTTTGCATAAACCTATCTGCCGCTTCATCCTAGTCTGTCCTGTAATGTGTTGCTGTACTTCCGATGTGGCTTGGACTGTGCTCATGTTTCTTTGTGAATTGCTCTGGGTGACCCCTTAATGCTGTCTTATTAGATGAGGCCAGCCAGCATTCATTCTATGGATCCTCACCGTAATTGCTACGAAGGCTAAGCTATTATTTTCTTTTTACCAAGTGAAGCTTTTTGAGGATCTATATTGATCCATAACCGATGTGGGGCTACACAGATCAATCTTGCCCAATAAGAGAAGCATCATGCAAACTTATAACTTATGTAATTTAAGCGACTTACGTGAAACTTTTTTTTGGGGGGTCAAAATACATTTTGTTGTGATATATGTCTGAGTAAAGAACAGAAATCAATTGAGGTAAGTACAGAAATAAATAAACGTTACAGAAATGATCAAATATCTAGATTTAACATTGTTTAAAGAATTGGTCAAAAATGTACATCGTAAAGTACTGTGGCAAATAACTTATTTATTTAGTTATAACTTGTCCTTCAGAACGAAAAAGAAAAAAGAAGAATCATGTATATAATCTTTAAAGTCATTTACCAGAGTTTCAACATAAAACATGGTTTTATGTAAAGCTTCCACTTTCTTGACGCGACGTTTGATGGGTTTTGTAAGACAAGTTTGTTTAATAAGGAAATATATTTTTAAAAATTTAGCATCTGTGTTCCCAAGGTAAGGAATAATTCTCCTTCCCCCTGTCATTCTAGCATTCTAGTTAAAATGTTTTCTTCCTCTGAAAGTTTGGGATCCTCTCAACTTGTGTAAGAAAATGCTCCTCGGCCTCCGTCCGCAATATGGTAGGAAGGGATTAAATAATTTCCCCCTCAAAGTAGCCACATCAGTACCAGAAATCATGATGCAAGTAATTGTGGAAGACCAGCCTACCTCCAGACTACTGAGGTAGCCAGGATATTATACTGATTTTAAGAAATTCCCCAGGATGAACAGAGCAATTCTACACTTCCCTCCTTCTTTCAGATTTCTTTAAAGAAGTAACTCATAACGCAACAAAATTATATAGCAGGATGTGTGATATGAAAGCAGATGGTCAAGTCTTCAAATAACTAATCCTCTTTATTGTGAGATGTATGCAAAAATTTGGAATGTTGGATCATAGTGGCATATATAAGTCCATTTCATTGGTCTTGGTATTGTATGTGGCAGTTTCTAAATTGTTTTTATTAATACTTTTCGAGTTGATCTTGTATCAAAATAAACTGAACTGAAGAGTCAGGCAAGGGAACAGGTACCCGACATCCTTCCTTAATTTGTACTGAATCCTTCCACCCTGATTTTTCATAGTTGCTTCCTGAGGGAAGGGTCCACAAATTCTGGCCGGGCACGCTAGTCAGCTCTTTTGTACTATCTGAAAGGTGCAGTCCTGCTGTAATATTACCATTGTGCATCAAGAGAATTCCTAGATTTATATCATCGTGCACTAGTTAATTTCCTGCATTTAAGGAAGAACTTTTCTTTAAACGCATGAAGTTGGATCCTTTCTGAAATATTATTGCACAGAAGCATGGGTCAGCAGGGTCTAAATAAATGGCTGGCATTTACGAGACAGAAAGAAGGTCCTCTTAGCAACAGCAGAGAGACCGAGATAATCTCTCCAGCAGACCTGTTTAGTCGTATCTTTTTGGCCACTCTTGGCTTTCCTAACTTTACCGCTGGTTGAAACTGACTCTGGTGCTTTAATCTCTCCATGCTGTAGCTTCTTCCACTTAATTACCCCCCTCCCTCTCATTCTGGCTGATTCTGCTCAGCCTTAAAGCTCCCCCCCCTTTTTTTTTGCTGGCAGTTCCTTTAAAAAGCCACCATCTCAGCGGGTTCAGCCCCTACCCCAGTCAACTTTTAAACGTTGCTACAGATGTTAGGTTGATAATGGTGTGGGCATAGATTTTGAACCAACAAGGCATAGTTTAAGAGTGGCTGATCAGCTGGAGTCTCAAAGAGCAGATGGATTTTCCCAAACAGAAGGGGGAGGTGATTTTTTTCTTCCCTGTCAGGATCCACAGCAATACAACGAAGTACACGCTTCCAAGAAGGTTTTACTTTTATTGAAAAGCCATAGATGCAGTAACATGAACACTTTCGGAATGGCGGGTCACCTATGCGCATAATAGGATATAGGGCATTCGTATGCACCCCCCCCCCCACGTAGTACCCAATTAGATGGGTTCCCGCGTGCGGGCATTTGGCAGATATCTAACGACTGCAGAAGCTGGAAAAGGGAAAAGCTTCTCACGGTTTCTAGACACACCAACTCCTCCAGCGGCCTTGAGAGATATGTGTTGCAGCTATGATGCAATTAAGCACATGGGAAGGAATGTACAGCAATTAGAAACAGACATCACACTCATGGCAGCATAGCTGACATACTGCCCCCTCGAAAACCAGCTCCCCCCCCCCAATCCAGGTTTCTCCCGGTCATTCTGGGAGATCTCCCGGTTTACCCGGGAACTCCCGGTGGAATCTGCGTATCAATTGAGGGGCCCAAATACCCCCTACTTCCACCCATTCGAGGTGCTGGGGTCCAAAGTCTTTCCATTCCACCAAATAAAACAGTTTTCCTCGTTTGCGCTTAGAATCCAAAATTTTAGAAATTTCGTAGTGTTCCTCGCCCTCGATCAAAATAGGCGGCGGAATTGATTGTTCTTGTCGCCAAGGTCAGGACCCAGTATCTTTCTTCAGGAGGCTGAAATGAAATACAGAATGCAAGTTTCTCAGGTTTTTAGGCAATTCTACGTCAACAGCAACATCATTAATCACTCTGCGCACTTTAAATGGCCCAATGTACTTCTAGCCCAGTTTCCTGCTAGGGCGCAACATTTGGATGTTCTTAGTAGATACATAAACAGAGTTTTTGCTGGCTGGGTGCCGTAACAATAAAATTCATTCATTCATAAACAGAGTCCCCCAGGCTGCAGAGCCCAACCCTCCACCCTTCTCTTGTCAGCCTGTGTCTTGTAAGCCTCCTTGGCCGCATCCAAGGTTTTGCACAAAAGGGGTCAAGAATTCCATAATTTCTTGTACCACAGCCCCGCCTCCCCAGGACCCACGTCAAGTCCCCCATCCAGGAAGGGAACTGGCGGGCTGTCATAACCATAGAGAGCTTTAAACGGGGACATCCCCGTCGACGCATGGCAAGTGTTATTGTAGCAATATTCATTCCAATCGTCTTGTTGATAGTTCGTAAAGCACCGAAGGTACTGCTCCAAGGTTTGATTAACCCTTTCTGTTTGCCCATCCATCTCTGGATGATAAGCAGTACTCAAACCCCTTTCCACCCCCATAAGCTTCATTAATTCACCCCAAAACTTCGAAACGAACTGCGTGCCCTGGTCGGATATCACTTTGGTTGGCAACATGTGGAGGCGTACAACATGTACCAGGAATGCTTTAGCAAGCGCTTTAGCCGTGGGCAGGGAAGCAAAGGGGACGAAATGCGCCTGTTTCGAAAATAGGTCCACCACCACCCAGATCAGAGTCATAGATTTGCTGGGTGGTAAATCCGTTATAAAATCCATGGAAATGACCTCCCAAGGTCAGCTTGGGGTAGGGAGGGGTTGTAAGAGTCCTGGGACTTTGCCAGGACGAGGCTTACTCATGGCGCACACTTGGCCTGATTGAACAAACTAAGATAGATCCTTGCGCATGAGCGGCCACCAGAACTGTCTCTGCAAGAGTTGAAGAGATTTCACGAAACCAGAATGTCCTGCTAATTTTGAGCCATGAACTGACTGCAATACCTCCCTTCGGAGTGATTGGGGCACGTACAGTTTATGTCCATGATACCAGCAGCCATTATCCTGCTGCACACAATCCCCCACCCCTTCCAGTAGTTCTTGGTCTGCCTCTGAGAAGGCGGAGTTGAACCCGTGAGGCCAAGGTGACTTCGCTGGTGGAGGGGCCGGTTTGCCGACAGCTTGGCTGTGAGTCGTCACCGCACCGCCCAGGTGGGAGGGGATGAACACCGAATCAAGGATGACCTCCCGTTGGCTGTCATGCTGGGGGAGGCGTGAGAGGGCGTCAGCTAACGAATTTGCCGAACCCGGGAAATGATGGAGGGTGAACTGGAACTTAGAGAAGAAGTCCGCCCATCTCAGTTGTTTAGTGTTCAAGCACCGGGGCGTCTTGAGAGTCTCTAAGTTCTTGTGATCCGTCCACACCTCAAAGGGGACCCGAGCCCCCTCCAGCCAATGTCTCCACGTAGTTAGCGCCAGTTTTATTGCCCCCGCTTCCTTTTCCCACACTGACCAATTTCTCTCAGAGTCATTAAATTTCTTAGACACATATGCCAATGGATGTAACAGCCCATCCTCCCCCTCTTGCAGGATGCCCCCCCCCACAGCCACGTCAGAAACATCAGTTTGCACAATGAACGTTTTAGATTCATCGGGGTGAGCCAGCACCGGCTCCGATGTGAAGAGGGCTTTCAAGCGCCTGAACGCCTCCTGGCACTCGGCAGTCCAGGGAAGCGGAGCGCCCGGTCGTGTAGCCTCCGGACCTTTTCCTTTCGTTTTCAGAAGGTCCGTGAGGGGGAGGCTAACTTGGGCAAAGTTGGGCAAAAAGGAATGATAAAAGTTCGTGAACCCGAGGAAAGATTGTAATTGCCACCGGGTTTGAGGCGCTTCCCACCCCAGTACATCTCGGACCTTCCAATAATTGTTGGCAGTGGGCTCATGGTTCAATGACAGAGCATCTGCTTTTATGCAGGTTCCAGGTTCAATCCCCAGGTTCAGTCCCCAGTGTCTCCACTTAAAAATATCAGAAAGGCTCTTTTCCTGAGACCCTGCCAGTCAAAGTAGTCAGCAAGGTTTTCTGCAGGTGTCAACCTGCAAATGGACAAAATCGGCAATTTGTCCGTATCAGTGCCTGTTCTGTTGTGGCCCCCATTTTATGGAATGGTCTGCCTGAGGAGGTCAGGAAGGCTCCCACTCTCCTGGGCTTCTAGAAACTATGTAAAACATAATTACTCAATAGGACTTTTCTACGCAAGCAATGGAGTTGCACTGTACTAAACGATAGACAAACTTGGAGAAATTATTAGGGGCTGTGTGTGTACAGCTTGCTGGAACTGGAGTCCTACTATGTAATGTTTGGCCTGTTTAATGTTAAGTCATGTAGCTGACTGGTTCTCCAACCTGAATCCTATTTATTGTTTACTGGATACGCCATCCTATTGATTCTATTGACTCTCTCTGTGTGTAATACACCTTAAGTCCAAGTCAGAAAAGTGGACTATAAATGGTGTAAATAAAAATAAATACAAAAAATACTGGCCCATGGTCTGACTCTGTATAAGGCAGCATCATATGAGGTGAAAGAGATAAGTGATGGCTGCAATTGCCTTTTGCTACAGATTCTGTTGAGTCTCAAGGAGTGACCCTCCTTTATGGTCTTGGTCACTGGAAGCCTAAACCAATCTGGCAACTGGTTAGCGTTAGCAGGTGACTCTTGACTGGCAATAAGCACTGAATCCAACTTACCGGGTGCTGGCTTTTGCAGCCCGAGCCAGGGAAGAGGTCTGCCAGCTGCCAGCAGTCATGTGGTCATTCCAGCTGGGCTGGGAGGTTGGTGCCCATTGGCAGTTCCACGCTGTCCAGCGGCGTCATTGGTGACAACCCCTGGAGCGGGGGTAACTCAAGATGCAACCATAACATGGGTGCCATGTTGGGCTCTCCCTGCGGCCGCAGCAAGGTGTATTGCCCTGTTTCGAGGATCCTTCTGGCTCTAATAGTTTCTTCTTTGTAGAGGATGTGGTAGGCCCTTTGTTACTGCTGTTGAGGTTATTCCTATTTTGCTATGCACAGCAATGAGCTATAGTTTAACAGCAAGGAAACTTCACCTTCCTCAAGTCTGAGAAATCCACACTGGGAGCCCTAGCATCCAGAGATATTTTTTTTAAAATAGCCTTCTCAGCCCACTTACTGAGACCAGTTTTTTGCTCTGTTACGAACATCTTCAGAGGAACCTGAAGAGGAGTTGTAATCAATGCTCCCTTTAAGCTGTTTATTTATTTATTCTATTTATACCCTTCCCTCCCCGCGACTAGGCTCAGGGCGGCTGTGGAGCCTTGTGAGCAAAAATCCTACTTTGTGAGCTACTGGCATTAAAGTTGTGAGCGAGCGATTCTGGCTACTGTGCTAAGACAACAATGTGTGAGCCGGAGGCTAAAAAAACTGTGAGTCAGCTCACGCTAACAGCTTAGAGGGAACACTGGTTGTAACCTTCACTTTTAAAAAAGAATCCAGATACTTTTAAACATCTGTAACAGCTGTTTCTCTCTTCTCCTAGCCCCCGAGGAGAGAAGATTCGCAGCAGAGTGGAGCTGATGCGGTTGCTGGGGTGTTCAAGAGACCTGACTGACTTTGATTTCAAGAAAGGGGTTTTCATTGAGCCTGGTGCCGAGGTACTGATCCTGGATTAGCATTGGCTGAGGTAGCAGAGGAGGTTTATATAAGTGAACTGGCCACCTGCAATTGCATTCGTCATAGAGGGTAGATGTCCAGGTGACTTCTTGTAGTCACTTGGACCATGGATTTTAAGGACATTGCTGGAGAGGGAGCTAAATGCGTTCTCTTTGCTTGCTTGGGCGAGGTGTCCCCTTTCTGTGTCTGTGCAAACTTGGTGCTCTGATGATATATTCCAGCCTGCTATTTGTCAGTTTTATTGTGAAGTCTAGAATTACAGGCCTATTAGATTAGCGCATACCATGATTTCATATCTTGTTTGGACCATGCTAGCTTCCAGAACTCAGAATTAATTGTTAGGGAAGCTAGATATTACAGCTTAGAACCAAACCGTTTGCTTTGCTTGCTTTCTCCTGATACAGCCTGCTCCACCGGTTCCACCCCCTATAGAAAGACATCGGAAGGTGAGCATGTAGACTGGGGCTGAAACTGTGTGATGAATGGGTTAAACAATGCCTGGGAAACAATATGTTGGGGGGGGGGTTGAAGAAGAGAGAATGCCAGAAGCATGACTGCGTTTTTGCGATTGGAGGCTGCTTCTGTGTAGGTGAGTACAAGGAAATAAGGTCCCTGTGGTGACATATTTTGGTAAGGAAACACCTGGTGTACTGATGCAGCCTTCCCAGAAGGCAGCAGGTCACGGGCAAGGTTGCAAAGAGTAAACAGGGTCCAGTCCAAAAGGGGTTCCAGAGAGCAGGTATGCGAAGTCCAGTCAAGGGATCCAGGCAGCAAGTCCAAGTCTGGTCCAAGGTTAAAGGTTCCAGAAAAGCTGATAGTCAGGTCCAGTGCAAGGGTCAAGGTTCCAGTGGTCCGGTAATAAGGACAGTGGTTCAGTAGTAATGTGTACTTGTTGCATCCACATAACTGCTGCTTCTCCTGGTTGATTTTATAGCCAAGTCTTAACAAGTTACACTCCCAGCCCATTCCTTGGCAGTCATCCTGAAATGTACTAATCCGTCTCATCAGTTGACAGCTGGCAATGGGCCATGAGTCTCACACTCCTCCTTTCCTGCAACTCTGCACACCTCTGGCAGTGTTGGTGCTGCAGGGTGTGGGTGAGCTAGGTGGGCTGGAGTGGCTTCAGAAGCCTTGTTTACTGCTTCAGAACTACAAGGTGTTGGCTCAGTTTCAGATTTATCAGCTGGTAACCTGATCTCTTCTTGCTCTCCTCCTGGCTCAGAGTCAGCTGCAGCCGGTTGTTTGATTACTAGCTGAGGGCTGTCTGCAGGCAGCTCTTCATCTGAGGAATCTGTGCTGTCACTGAGCACAGACTGACTTACAACACCTGGAGTACATTTTAAACTTCCGTATCAGTCACGTATCAGAAGATAGCTGGGTTGGTCTACAGTAGAACAGCAAGATTTGAGGCCAGTAGCATCTTAGGGAACAACAAGATTTTTGGGGTGCGAGCTTTCAAAAGTCAAAGCTCCCCTTGTCAGATGCCGATTTTTGAATGCAAAGCTCATACTCCTTAAATCTGGTTGGTCTCTGTTGTGCTACTAGACTCAAATTTAGCATATGAATCGTGTTTCTCAGACTTCACTGTGGCTGAAGTGTAAGTTGAGCACACTTAGCATGAGTTTATTTGCCTTTTGTCATAACCTCACACATTTGGCATAGTTAAAAGGGGCTATAGGAAGGGCAGGATCCCCTTCCCCATGCATAGTTATTGGCTAAGGTAGTGTTCTGATCCACAGTGATGATAATAAGTACACAGGTCATAGGTTTTCAGATTAATACCAAGAACAAGGATGTGATCTTGGGTTTGTAGGGTTGAGAGAGAGCAAAGACAGCTGCTCTGTCCATTAATACTTTTTCTCTTAGCCTGTGGCAGAGGTAGGAAAGGAACGAGGTAGCAGAAATGCCTCGTTGGTCTGGTGAGCGGTTGAAAGGTCCTTGGGGTTGGGACTGAAGGAAAGCCAAGAGAAAGGAGAGGGGATAAAGGAGCTTCTGGAAAGGAAAGAGTTCACTTACTGAACATATGGCCCCCCAGCCTCCTCTGACAACACATTGAGAGGTTAATGGAGACTTCTATAAAGTGGACCTCCTGTGTGTTGGCCCCCTGTGTTGCACCAGAGTCAAGGAGAAGCTTGCATCTCCTCCAGCTGCTGTCTTTCTGTCCTAGAGTAGTTGTCAGAAGCCTAAATGTTGACAACTCTATTGCTTGGTATTGCCCAATGTGCATCATGTGGCTGATGGTCTCATCTGTCTCTCCTCCCCGTAGGTCAAAAAGGGTAGCAAGAAGCGACTCCCTTCTCTGCCAGAAGCCACCCCTCCACTCAAGAAACCTCCTGACTTGCAGGAATTTGAACCGCCTCCGGACGACAAGCCTCCACAGCTTGAGCTGGAGATGCCGATCGGGACCCCTGCCAGTATTCCAGCCCAGCAGCCAGAGCCTCTGGCCCCCGTGGATCCGTTAACCCCCAAACCCCACAAACGACGACGTCGGAAACATCCTGCCCCCATCCTTGCTGAGGGCAAAGCGGGAGATGCGACAATGCTAGAAATCACACCCGAGGAAACTATTGCGTGAGTCTTTTTTTGTCACCCTCTTCCTCCTTGTGGCAATGTATGGCTTCTTTTCCTTGGTACCCTCAATGCAAAGGCTGGAAGATCCATTGCTGGCAGTCTTTCAGTCCTGCAGAGTAGAACTTTGTGAACGTCTGTCCCAGTGGCATCCTGCCAGAGCTTAAAATGCACAAAATGCTGATCTTCTGTACCTGGAAAGTATTGGAGAAGTGCAAAGATCGGTGGAGGTCTAAACTGCTGTCCCGTTCCCGGTCCCCATAAGCTTCAAGAACCTGGTTGTTTGCCCATACATTCCCTCTCCAGCACTTCTGAGAGTGTTAGCTGTTCCTGATCCACCCTGCACAGCTCTCTTCAGTTGAAAGCAAAGTGTGTTGCAACTGTGAATGGTTGAAATGTTATTCTTGGGCAGGCGTATGTGGATTTTAATGTTCGTTTTAAGTTGATTAGGCAGCGCCTTGACAGAAAGCGCCCCTACTCTGAGGAAGGTTGCCTTAGATGACAGTGTGACTTCATTGGCACTGTGAATTGCAGTGCTTGGTCAGGAATGAAAAGGGTGTTTTCGAAATCTCCTTCTCCGCCCTCTCCTATTCCATATTATCTTCCCTTTCCTCAGTGTTTTAGTTTATCCCACAGCATTTCGTACAACGAAAAGAATAGAATAAGCTCAGATGAGTAGAAAGAGCACACCATTACCGGTGTCTGCTATTGAGAGATACTGCCTGAGATCTTGAAGAGCTATTGCCTGCCAGAGGTTGATATGTGGAACCTTCCAACCTTTTGTGGCTCACCCCACAAGAGATAACACACTTTGGTGGTGGTGCTCATATGCCTAAAGGCTGGACAACATTGAGGAACCCTTGATCTGTAATCTGATGATGGCTGCTTTCATATTTTGTTTCGTCTGTGGAAGAGCTGCCATATTTGAAACACATTAGGAGTTTTGCCTGGTGACGAGATGGTTTCTGCACTTGTTGGTTTCTCTTTTTTTTTTTTGCTGTCAAGTCACAGCTGACTTATGGTGACCCGATACGGTTTTCATGGCAAGAGGTGTACAGAGGTGGTTTGCCATTGCCTGCCTCTGCATAGCAACCCTGGTATTCCTTGGAGGTCTTCCATCCAGATACTAGCCAGGGTCCACCCTGCTTAGCTTCTGAGATCTGATAAGATCACGTTCACCTGGGCTATCCAGGTCAGGACAAGCAGGAATGTCTTAATGTAGATCGGCTCTCTTGGTATCTAGGAGTTTTAACAGTGTCTAGGAGGACATGGGGAGATGTGAATTCGGTGCCCAGGCTTCTGTATACACTTTTTGCTCTCTCCAGAGATTCGGATGAGGCCACGACTTTTGGTGGGGCTGAACTTTAAGTAGACTCCAAAGCCTACTTATTTATTTAGACATTTTTACCCTGTTTCTCTCCCCAAGGGGGCCCCCAATCTGGTTTACAAAAATATCAAAATATAAACATAATACGTCCTTACCTGGATGGTCCAGCTTTGCCCAATCTCGTCAGACATCGGAAGCTAAGCAGGGCCCGCGCTGGTTAGTACTTGGATGGGAGACCATTAAGGAAGTCCAGGGTCACTGTGCAGAGGCAGCAATGGCAAAACAGTTGTCTCTTGCCTTGAAAATCCTACGGGGTTGCCATAAGTTGGCTCTGCCTTGATGGCACTAAAGATACTTAAGAAACCTGTCTCTTTAAAGAATATTTAAAAGATATTTCAACTGTAAAGTTCACACCAGAACACAGAAAAGTCCTAAATCAAACAATAAAAACGCAAGAAGTTTTCCAGACAATAAAAAATATGAAAAAGGATAAAACACCAGGCCTGGATGGCCTAAGAGCAATGTGTTATAAACGTTTTGAAGAAGTTTTAATGATACTATTAGAAAAAGTTATGAATGAAATAAAAGAAGGAAAGACAGTACCTCTGACGTGGCAAGGTAATATACAAAGAAGGCAGTGATGCAATGTTACCACAAACATATAGCCCTATCTCTTTACTGAATGTAGATTATAAGATTTTCGCTACGATAATGGCAGAAAGATGAAGAAAATGCATGCCAAATTTAATACACACCGATCAAATAGGCTTTGTACCCAAAGAGGTACATGAAAGATAATACACAATTTAATATACGATTTATAATTGATGCAATTGAATTTGTGAATAAAAAAAGAAATAAAGCAGCATTTTTATTTTTGGATGCAGAGAAAGCGTTTGACAACATAATATGGCCTGGAATTCTGGAACTGGATGCAAGCTATATACTCGAACCAACAAGCAAAGATTTTAATAAATGGAAAATTAATAGAAGCAATTTCGATCAAAAAAGGAACATGCCACAGATACAAGGATTAAAGGAATAAAAGTGGATGATATAGAAGTTAAAATGACAAGCTAGGCAGATGATGTGGTTCTAACAGTTTTGGAACCACAAAAAATCGTATCGAGTCCTTCAAATTTTCTACTTACGTCTTCAATAGAAGCTTACCATGATAAGAATATGAGAAACAAAAGTGGTTTCTTAACATATGGCAGCATGGTAAATGCCGAGGGGAAACTTAAGTCATGGCAAGATATTAAAGATGAAGGAATTAATATTCATTGGTTATTATCAGGGTGGATTTGATTTAAATCGAAATCGCGATTTAAATCATGGTTGTCTACATAAAAACTCATTTTTACTGGCCATATTTGCAACCCAGATGAAGGTTTCTTTTTAGTATAATAACTTTTCAGGTTAGTTTTAGTTATATCAGAAAATTAATGATTGGTTATTTACCACTTGAAATATATAATAATGAAATCATTGCAAGGTAAACGATCTCCAATTTAATAGGTTGTTAATCGTTCATATTTGGACAATTTTTCTGCTGTACTTTTTTGGAAGAAGAAAAATAATCATTAACAATAATCAAATTGTTTTATAATATTTTTGTTGTGAAGAAGAGGCTAGTGATCTCTGCAGACACAAATTTACAATTTTGAGAACTATAAAACCAAGCATCTGTGATAATATCTTCTAGATAGAAAAATTGCCCAATAGTGTTACAGAAACCTCTAGAAATGCATGACATTGTGAATGGATTAATGGAATTTGTTTACCAAAAAAATTAAACATTGCATGAATATATAGCCTCATGCTACATAATTAAAAACTAATTCAAATTTCATGATGAGTAACCTTTGGACTATAATGTATCTTAAATAGAAAACTCTTTAGATAGATTTTTCCTCAAAAAGCATTTTTTCCTCAAAAAGCATTTTATTAAAAAATAAAATTTAAATTTTAAAAATCCAATTTAAATTCTAAAAATCTGATTTTTAATATTTTTTTAAAAAATCACTGATTTTTATCCACCCTGATTACTATATTACCAATCAGTTCCAAGATTAAAGAAGATTACTAATATGGAAGGTAGATCTCTATAAGAGAGATGACTGAATTTGAACAACTAACTTTAAAACAAAAAGATCATCTATTACATTGGATGTATAAGTTATTGTTGCAGCTAGAAACAGAAAAACAAGTGAAAAAATGTATGATTAAATGGAAGCAGAATTTTATGGAGCAGATATTTATACATCAGTGGGAACAGTTATGGAAAAAGGCACTTAAGTTCACAGCCAGTCAGGCGCTAAGTGAAGTTTGGTATAAAATGTTCTTCAGATGGTATATTACTCTGAAGGACGTTGAGAAAGTAGACAAAAATTATGAAGGGAAATGCAGGAAATGTCAAGACATAGATGGAACATTCTACCATATGTGGTGGACTTATAAAAAAGCAAGAAGATATTGGATGGAAATACATGGGGAAATGCAGAATATATTAAAATTCAAATTTCATATGAAGCTAAGAATATGTTATTAGGAATATTGCCCAACAAATTACCAAAAGCTTTGAAAGAGATATTTAAATATATGGTGACAGCAGCTAGAATTATTTATGCAGCAAAATGGAAATCAGACTTCTGTCCAAGCTTAGAAGAGTGGGAAAACAAACTCGCTGATTATGCAGTAATGGCGAAATGAACCACTTGTATGAGAAACGAACCACTTATTTGAGAAACAGAAATCTGAGAAGAGGGAGTGCAAACAGGAGACAAACTTAGAATAAGAAACAATTGAAAAATGATCTCAGAAACTAAGCAGGGTTGACCCTGGCAAGTACTTGGAAGGGAGACCTCCAAGTAATGCCAGGGCCAGGACGCAGAGGCAGGCAATATCAAGCCACCTCTCTGAAATGTCCTAGCACCTCAGGGGGTCGCCAGAAGTCACCATGACTTCCAGACATGCATGCGCGCGCACACACAAAATACCAAAAAAAAAAAAAGGTCTATAAATGTAGCGTAAAGCATACACATGTAATATAATGCAGAAAAAGAAGGGGAACAGATTTGAATATAAATGTACAAGGAAGTGGATTTTGAATAAAATATTTCTTATTTTTTATTGTGAGGTAGATAATAGATTTCCCTTCAAACTTTGGTATATTTAGAATTATAGTTAGCATGTAGTATGTCGTATTGATGAAATATGTAGAACAGAATATGTATTAATGATGAAAGTTTTGTAGAAAATGTCTGAGGCGGAGGGTCAATTATGCAAGCAGGAGATAAACTTAGAATGAGAAACAGTTCAGAAATGGTCTATAATGTATTGTAAGGCATATAAATGTAGTTTAGTATAGAGAAAGGAGGAGGATAAGTGTGAATATCAATTCTTCAAATTTTGGTGTGTTAAAGTTATAGCAAGTACGTAGCGGTGATGAAATATGCAATATAGAATATGTATCAATCATGAAATTATTGTAGAAAATGTCTTAAAAACTCTAATGAAGGGGATGCTGGGGAGAAGTAACTCTTTACCTCTTTGCTTAATATAGCCTGTATAACTATAATTGTTTCAGAATCCCTATATAACTCCTTTTTTCCCTTCTGTACCCCTCTTACGTTATTAATTTGTTTCTGAAATAAAAAAATATAATAAAAAGAAACCTGTCTCTTGCCTTGAACACCCCATGAGGGATCGCCATAAGTCGTCTGTGACTTGACAGCCGTTTCCGCCAGCACCGAACAAAATACAACTTAAGCAGGGGGGAAATGAAAGGTGAAAGCACAGCTTGGTCTGATCCTGGATTCGCTGGGTGGGCTCATGCAAGGTCATAGGCTGCTATCCAAGATCCAGGAAGGCCAAAAGGCTCGCACCTCTGGCTGTGTCCAGGCTTCAATACCTGCAACAGGAGGGGAAGCAGAAGCTCAGTTCAGCTCAGGTCTCAGGCCACTGGCAGACACATCCCCCTGATTTCTCCCCCTTTCTGGGTACCATAACATCCCACAAGCATTTTTTTAAGCATCCATTTGTCGGGCACTCTTCCTGGGGGTCCCTTTTTTGCAGATAGTCGTGCAGTGGCTTCTTGCCCACTCGCAGTCTGCCAGGGAGTCTAGCCTGGCCGTGCTGTGTTATAGGACAGCTTTCTTTCGGCACAGCCAACCTAGTAGGGCTAAAGATGCCTTGCCGATGAGCGATGGAGCTGCCTCTGCTTAACCCTTGACATCTTTCCTCCTTCCAGGTGCTGTGCCAGCTGTCAAGGCCAGTTCCCAGGAGTGATGCTCCCATCCCAGAGGCGCTGCCGTTGGCTCTGCCCCGACTGCAGAGGTTGGTGCCCGGGGCGGCGGGGGGGGGGAGGTCAGGCACCAAATGGTGGTGTTTTTCAGCTCTGTAAGCCATCTTGACCTTTGAGGAAGGGGGTAGGATACAGCTCTGTCTAGTAAAATAAAAGGCCGTAGGGCAAGATGGCAAAGCCTTTTTGCTGTTGTGAGAAGGCGTGTTAAAGGCACCAGTATTCTATTAGCGAAGGACATTGACAATCTCAGCACTGCAGTAGTTATATCTTCTTCTTCTTCCTTCTTCCTTCTTCTTCCTTCTTCTTCCTTCTTCTTCCTTCTTCTTTCTTCTTCTTTCTTCTTCTTCCTTCTTCTTCCTTCTTCTTCCTTCTTCTTATTACTATTATTACTATTATTATTATCATCTCACTCCATCCCTACTTAAAAAACAGATGGCGAATAGTATCCGTAGTATCCTGTGTTACAGGCTGCTGGCAATTTCACAGGCGGGGGGGGGGGGGGGGGGGGGGGGGGGGAGATGTTTCCAAACACCCTTAAGCTGGCAGTAGCCGTAAAAACCGTCACTGTCCTCAACTAAAAGCCTGTCGGAACATCTCTGCCTCGCAGGCCCTGCAGAATTGCAAAAGGTTCCGCAGGGCCCTGGTGGTATTAGGCAGAGAGTTCCACCAGGTTGGGGCCAGGACCAAAAAGTCCCTTGCCCTGGTCGAGGACAGCCAGATGTCCTTGGGACCAGGGACCACCATCATGTTGTTGTCCAAGGAGCACAATGCCCTTCCAGGGACATAACAGAGGAGACGGGCCGTAGATATGTTGGTCCCAGTCTGCTTAAGGCCTTGTGTCCCTTCCGTGTCAGTAGACAGCAGGGGCAAGACGCTGGGTGTGGGAGCATCGGACTGGCGTCGATTCCCCCACACTTTTCTCTCTTAGCTTACCCCTAACTTGGATTCTTTTCTGCACACGCAGAGTTCCTCAGTAGGGCTGGTCTCGTTCTCTCTCAAATCTTAATTTTATCCCCCCCCTCCCTTCTCCCACCCCGTTCAGCTCAGAGAAGAGACTTCAACCGGGAGCAGAGATATTACAAGGTGAGACCTAGGGCTTATCCATACATTTTGTCCCTTCAATCCTGGTCTCGAACGATGGCACCCTGACAGTTTCTTTGGTCAGAAAAAGTACCAGTGGGCCCGATCCAGCCTAAAGATGCCGCCAGCACAATGGAATTCTCCTGCCTCCCTCCTCCCACTGCCGCCCCACTGTCCTCCGTGAAATGGTGCTCCCGGGGGATAGGGGACCCCGAGGAACGACACAAGAGGAGGGAAGTGGTGCAGCTTGCCAGTTTAGTCTGGGTCCAACCCTGTCCGTGCAAGAATGGGATTTCTTTAACGAATGGCACACCCCCACCCCAATATCTCTCTCATGGAGCTGGCATGCAGGGATTTAAAAGGTACTGATCAGTCAGCTGACCAGAGGCCCTGGCTGAAAACACACATCGTCGTTCGCACTTTGAAATCCTCCTTTGTGTGCATACACGGAAGGGTTTTTTTTAAGAGGATGGTTTAACATCCAGTTAATGCAAGAAGTGTTGGCTTTTAATCGGCACTTCCCTCATCGGCCGAAGGACACGATTAACACCTTCCCCAAGCCGGCAACAGCCACTTAAAAAAAAAAACCCCAACAACTTGAAATCAAAATGCCTGAGCGAGAGGTACCACAATGTGTGACCAGTTCTTGGTGGGTCAGTGGGGCTGAGGTGGGGCCTCCGGGCTTTGTTTCGGGGAGGCAGTTATATGGCGTAGGGAAAGGTCCGGAGTGCCTGATGCTTAATCGTTGCAGAAAGCGGGAGTAAATGTGGGTATGGTCAGTCCCTGGCTTAGGAGTCTACTGGGAGCTGCATGTAAAAGCTGACTATTGGGATGTTGGTGTTTCAGGGAGGGGCCATACCACTCTGGCAGAGGACATGTTTTGCATGACAGCAATACCCACATTTGTACCAGGGACCTTTGAATTAAAGGACCTTCAGCTTCTGGGCCAGATCTTTTCTTGGGTCTGGGACTCCGGAGAGCTTCTGCTAGCCACTGGCCCCGATTCTGACTCTGCGGGAGACATCTTTTGCACACGGCTTTTGGGGCAGTGAGGAGGGGGCGATCCGGGCGAAGCCGTCCTTTTCACTCGGCGGACGTAGCCTGGCTGGTTGGGCTCGAGAAGCGTGCCTTTTTGGGTTCACGAAGTTGCCTTCCCTGGATCCCTGCTCACCCCAACCCCCCTCTGCCCTTGCAGCAAGTTGGCTGTGGGGTGTGCCAAGCCTGCCAGATGTCTCAGGACTGCGGCATCTGCACAGTGTGTGTCGTGCGAGCCAAGAGCCCCGAGCTCCGCATTGGCATCAAATGCCTGCTGCGACGATGCCTGAGGATTGTCATAAAGGTACCGGCTACTCCCCGCTTTATCCCTCCCTTGGGTCCCTTTCCAGTTCTCCTGCCGTTCCTTATTCTCAGCCTGGACTCCCCCTCCCCCTCCTCTGCCCAGGTGTTGGAAGGCTGACGGTCTCTCCCCCCCTTTCCCCACCCCACCCCCTCTTTGCAGGGTCCTGAGTGCGGGATGTGTCAGGCCTGCAAAATCACCGAAGACTGCGGTAGCTGTTACATCTGCCTGCGGAGGCAGAAGCCGGGCATGAAGCGCCAGTGGAAGTGTGTGAAGCGCCGCTGTCTCAAACGCAAGGTGTGTTCTTGACTGGGTTCTGTGCCCCAGAGAGAGTCCAGCGTGGTGGTGGTGGGGAGGGAGATAGTTGAAATAATACGAAGGAGAGAAGGGGACACGAATCCCTTATATCCAACAAGGGGCTAAGACTGTGAAGACGGATATATAATTCTGGCATAGAGAAAGATAGATCCTGCAGAACATACACCAGTTTGGTGAAGTGGTTAAATGCGTGGACTCTAATATGGAAGAATCGGGTTTGATTCCCCACTCCCACTTGCAGCTGCTGGATGACCTTGGGTCAGTCATAAATTCTTTCAGAGCTGTTCTCTCAAGAACAGTTCTGGAAAGAGCTCTCTCTGCCTCACCTACCTCACAGGGTGCTTGTTGTGGGGAGTGGAAGGGAAAGGTGTTTGTAAGCCGTTCTGAGACTCCGAGTGAAGGGCGGGGTATAAATCCAATCTCTTCTTCTTATGTCTCAATAATAGGTCTAGGTGTAAATTTCTTTGCCGCTGTGCTTTTTTGGTATTGGCTTCCAAAGCACTTCATTAAAGCATGCAATCCCAACACCCCGTCCCAGATTTTACAGCTATAAAAATATAAACGTGCAAAGCAGCCAAGACCAAAATACCAAATAAAAGGGCTATTAAATTAGGCATGAATTTAAACACACTGAATTGCATCAAATTGCCTTTTTAAAAAAGGTCTTCCTAAAAGGAATATGAAGAGTTTAGGCTGCTGATGTGGCTTGAGGTTTTTTCTCCCGAAGAACCCCCCCCCCCCTTTCAAATGGGGAAATTATAAATTATAAATTTTGGTCCAGTCCCTCCTCGTCGACCTTGCCCGTCTCTCCTTACTTGAGCACCACTGGTAACTCTTCCTCTTTCCCTTTGTGCACTGTAGCTACCATTTATATCCTCTTCCAAACCACCTTCACATGCAGTGGACCAAGATGGAATAATCGCTTAACCCTTGATAAATATTTTTGTTTTAATGGCTGTCGCCTGCCCATACCGGAAGGAAAACTCCATAACCAAAAGGAGTGGAAAAGAAGACGGCTCCCGGAATCTAACCCCCTAACTCCTTGGCTTTCATCTGGCCGGAGCACTGCTTCTGGGTTTAGTACTAGAGTAGTGTATACTGGAGGAAATACTCATATTCTGATACAACCATTCTTTAATGTTGAGAGAGGACAAACAAAGTGGATACATATTCCATATTTGTGCCCATTCTTGCTCATCTCAACCTGTATGTGGAAAGTTTATTTCAAACTCCTGTATTTCATAGAGCAAGGAAATTATATTCTCGCTATTCAGTTGCCAATCAGAAATCAGGTTTTTAAAGAAAGCTATTGGCCTTAGAAAGACCTTTATGACATTTATAAATGCTGTAGCTGGAGGTATTAAAACCAGAATATTTTCTTGTTGCCTGCTAAATCTTGGTTTAGTTTCTTCTTTTAAAGAATTGTGTTCAGGAAAAAGTAAATATGTTAATCTGTTGATATTAGCTTTCCCCCCGTTGCTAAAAGATTTTGGGATTTGTCCGTGGTGTGTGTGTGGATTATTGCAGGGTATTACTCAACTGTAAAGCCTCAGAATGAAGGTGCAAGTTGGGGAGGTTCAGACCTCCTTTTTCTTTAGGGTATCTTAAAGTTTATAATGATTTTGGGGGATGTTACTGGATAAATTAGAAATTTGCTGTTGGATAGCCAGGCAGAAGTTACTTATCGGGTGGCTAGGTTCGGATGGCTTGCCCTAAGAATTAGAAAATCTATAGTAGCTCTAAAAGAGGAGAATTAAAATTAAGTTTTATTAATTTTAACCATTATGGTTTTTATGGTGTTTTTTTATAGAACCAGTCTTAAAATTCTGTTCCTTTTTTAATGTGATATCTTTTACCCATGTTACAAAATGTCATCGGTTTATGTGTTGGTCAGTGGCCGTGAATAAAACTTATCTACTGGATAAATTTGCTTAACATAGCCTGCTATTCTGTAAACATTTTGTGGGGAATCTGTACTGGAAGTATTTGAAAATAGAACAAGAATTGATTAATTGAATTTTTGGTAGCCACAGTACGTTATATGTGCCAGGTCTCTTAAAATCTTGAGCAGTCCTTACTCTATTGGGTGATAGTTTGGATTTAATTTTTGCAGATTAGGAGTTCCCTCCACCCCAAATGTCTGCATGATTTCCTAAACCATTGAAAATTACTTGTTTGGACGTCCTGAGAGAGGTTGATGAGGTTTATCGTGAAGCCTGATGATAGGCTTAGGGACTTCTTAACGACTGACAAAGATCATTTAAATGGTGATAGATATAGTACTGTGTCATCAGCAGACAGTGTCTTCTAAGAAGGTCAGCTGGTTCTTGCTAGGAGCATACCGTGAACAGAGAGTTCTTTGTTTAGGATTCCCTTGACAAAAATGAAATCTACCCTTGACAAAAATGAAATCAAGAGCCAGTTTGATGTGGTGTTTAAGTGCGCAGACTCTGATCCGGGAGAACCAGGTTTGATTCCCCACTCCTCCACTTGCAGCAGCTGGATGACCTTGTCTCACAGCTATTCTCTCAAGGGCAGTTTCTGTCAGAGCTCTCTCAGCCCCACCTACCTTACAGGGTGTCTGTTGTGGGGAGGGGAAGGGAAAGGCCGCTTTGAGACTCCAATTGAAGGGCGGGGCACAAATCCTATCTCCTCCTCCTCCTCAACATCTAATACTGAAATTACGTTTTCAAAACTGAGAGTCAAAACTGAGAGTCATGTAACTTCCTTTGACAGCCAGGCGTGCCTCATTACTGGAGCCTCTTGCTTGAAAGCCCGGGTTGATTATTGAGGTGCTCTTTTCTGGGGGTATTTTCTTCCAGCTGAGGGAAATGCAAAGCACTATAAGCTGAAGGGCTTTCAAAAGCTGGAAGACCATGGCTACGGTCACATGGAGTATTAGCCATGCTACAGAGACGGAAGATAGGCGGATTTTCCTGGCACAATCACACCGCAACATCTGGGAAGCGTAGAGCTCCCGTGGCGAACCCGAGGCTTCCCGCCGAAGATGCGGAGTTAAAAACTAGTACATCCGAGGTACTAGTTTCCAGAGACCGCGGGGCAAGGGCGGGCGTCTGATCGCGTTTCCGGTGGTGGCATCTGGCGCCAGCCCATGTCCCTTCGCAAACAGGGTTCCCCCCCCCCAAGTCTCCACAAGATGCGCACAAGCCCCCAACGGCGCATGCGCGCAAAGAGGAAAGCGAAAGTGCCATTTCGGCTTAAAAAAAGAAAGAAATGACCCTGTTTGTCATGGCAGCGGCGCCTAGCCATTGCTGGTGTGATCGTGCCGTGCCGCTTCTTTGCCGCGCTGCAGGAGCGGCGTGTGATCGCCACCCTCGTTTACCCGCCGGCGCGGAGGGAAGGACCCGTGGTGTGCTGCCGGCGCGTCTGATCGCATAATCGCGGATCAAACTGCGCCGGGGCAATTAGCCACGCCTCCCCCCTGCGATATCCGGCCCATGTGACCGGGGCCCATATTCAGTATTGCTTGTCGAGAGAATTGAGCCTTTGTGGATAAGTCAGCTCGGAGGAAGGATTCCAGTGATATTTTTTTTGTTTCTCTTCCTCATTGGCTCTGTGACTGGTTTGAGTGGCTGTCTTTTCCAGAAAGTTTCCACAGAAACGTCTTCATTAGACTTGGATTTCAGTGTCTTACAAGGAGAGTGTGCCTTTTTCTCTTACCTCTTTTGTCAAATATTTTCTTTAGATCTGTGGTGTAAAATTTAAGCCACAGTATCCCTGAAGTAGGGGCTGTGGTGGCTCAGTGGTTAAGACGCTGAACTGCCGACCGGAAGGTCGGTAGTTCAGCAGTTCGAGACCCGAGCGCCGCGCGACAGAGTGAGCTCCCGTCTCTGGCCCCAGTTCCTGCCAACCTAGCAGTTCGAAAGCAAGAAGTTGCAAGTAGATAAATAGATACCGCTTCGGTGGGAAGGTAACAGCATTCCGTGCGCCTCAGTATCTAGTCATACTGGCCACATGACTATGGAAATGTCTTCATACAGCGCTGGCTGTTCGGCTTGGAAACGGAGTTGAGCACTGCACCCTAGAGTCGGATTCGACTGGCTTTCGAGCAAGGGAAACCTTTACCTTGACCTTATCCCTGAAGTATCGAGAATGTTTGTCTAATGAAGGCCCGATCCTGTGAGCACATTCAGTCATGGGCAGCCACACCCTTTCTTCCAGCTGAAGTGTTTTGAATGTAGCTGGATTGGAACTATCCACCTTTTCAAGTCTGCCACAAAAATATAAATTATTCCGGTGCCATCTGGCCTCCTGGCCTTGGACCCCGTATCACATGGAAGCATTTCAATGTTTTGGGAGTTCCTTAATCTCCTACTGGAGAGCCGAACTCCCACAGCTGTGTCTGCAGTTGCAGCCGTCGCTCTTAAGATATCCCTTAATTTCTGCTAATTTGTTGCTTACAGGTTTAATGAGAGATTTCAGGTAGGCAATTAGATCTGCTCAGATACAACTAGGGCTATTTTGGGGCAGGAACGCACAGGAACGGAGTTCCGGCTGGCTCCCAAGTTGGCCACGCCCAGCAGGAACTCATTAGCATAATAGGCCACACCCAACAGCAGGAACTCATTGGGATTGGCTACATTAGGGGTGTGTGGCCTAACATGCAAAGGAGTTCCTGCTACAAAAAAAGGCCCTGGGTTTTGACAACAAACAAGATAAACAGAATAACAAGCAAAAGGTGGGTGTGGCTGGATGACCACACTTTTGGTAACGTGGGGGTGTGGCCTAATGTGCTAATGAGCTGTGCTGTCAGGGGTGTGGCCCAATATGCTAATGGGTTCCTGCTGTTGGGTGTGGCCTATTATGCTAATGAGTTCCTGCTGGGCTTTTTCTACAAAAAGAGCCCTGGCAACGATCAGCCCATCCTTTTTTTGTAGCTGGGCAGGACTTGTCAGGCAGCAGTGCTGCTTTTTGGGCCTCCGTTTGGTCCCCTCCTCCTCCCTCTCCACTCAAGCCTTGTTTCCCCACACCTTTCGTCAGCTGAGGGAAAGATGCTTTTAAAGTTTTTGGAAGAGCTCTCCCGTCTTGTGCTGGATTTACCCAAGTCAATTGCAGTCCGAGAACGTGAAGGGTGTTTTTAAAATTATTACAGGTGAGAAGGTGAAAGAGCTCTGCACTTAGACATCTGACTTCATGATGTGATGCCGTTTCCTCCCCCTGAGCACCATTTTTGACGGCCAGGTGTGCCTCATAACGAGCCTCTTGCCTGAAAGCAAGTGACGGCAAATAACTCGCAGAACGTGCGCTTGCGGTGGGGCAAGTCCTGAGGTCCACAAGAGCTCGAAAATTCACAGAATGCAGTGTTGAGAACAGAGTTCAGCTGCTTGAGGATCTCAGGTTTCCTTTTAAAACGAAACAAATTTCTAGCCCTCATGCCTGTGAAGGTGTGCTTGACAGTTCGTGAGCAGTGCCAGCTGACACCTTAGGAAGCCTTCGAGGTGGCTGAATGGGTTGGCCGGGGGTTTAGGATCAAGGTTAGGTCCAGGGCTTTTTTTGTAGGAAAAGCCCAGCAGGAACTCATTAGCATAATAGGCCACACCCCATACTGCAGAACTCATTGGCATATTAGGCCGCACCCCCATGTTACCAGAAGTGTGCTCATCCAGCCACACCCACCTTTTGCTTCTTATTCTATTTACCCAGGGCTTCTTTGTAGCAGGAACTCCTTTGCATGTTAGGCCACACACCCCTAATGTAGCCAATCCTAATGAGTTTCTGCTGTTGGGTGTGGCCAACTTGGAAGCCAGCCGGAACTCCGTTCCTGTGCGATTCCTGCCCATAAATAGCCCTGGTTAGGTCTATGATGAGCAAACTTTAGGGCAGAATGAGATTTTTAAAAATTATATATTTACTTCATCCGTACCCACACAATTATACATTTACTTCATCTGTGCCCACACAAATTCTCCTCAGCGGGTGCCCAAAGGAGCTTACGTCATTCCTCCCATCATTCGTCCCAATTTTTCCCCGTTCTGTATTATTCGATATTATTATCAATAGATGTCACTACCAGTGTGTGTTCAGCTTTTCCTGCTTTATACATGGTGTGGGATTCTCGTATACCAGGAGCAAAAGTTTCTTTAGCAGTTCTCCTCACCCTCGATCGTGGTGTCCCATCTCCCCCATCCTAGAACAGGAATCTAAGCCTCCGCAGGCTCTGTTTAGGAAAATGGCTGCTCTCCGCCTCTGGGTCATGCCATCCTGGGGTGTGTTTTGAGGCGTCTGCTTGATTCCGCCAGTAACCAGCTCTTGTTCCTTCCAGAAAAAAATCCCGCCCAAGAAGGACGGCTACAGTTCCAAGAAGCTTATGGTGGTGAGTAAAATGCAAGGTGGCTCCTCCCCTCAGGTCTTGGCATCTCCCCCACGAACTCTGCACTATTCCCTCTGCCTGTTCTGGCGTTGAAGTGTTGTACATGCATGCCTTCTTTGTTTTTTGGAATCGGTCTCTGGCCTCCTGCACGTTCCCTTTACCTTTAGGTCATTTAGCACGTTGGGGAGGAATAAGCATTTCCCGTGGCACGATAATCGAAAGCTTCCTTCTTCAAGCAGCTGACCGCTGACTGTTGGCTCAGCGTCTGACGTTGGTGTGTTTGTGAGTGGTAGTGAGGTGGAAGGCAGCCTTGTGCATGGCCTGGTCTTGTTCTGTGCGTGGTGTTCAGTAGACACCTTGTGGTATTGTGCCGCCGCCCCCCCCCCCCGAAACGGGGGGGGGGCTGTGCCTAACAGCCTCTTCTGCCTCTTTCCCGGTTAACACCAGGAAGCCTCCCCACCAAAGGATACCTTCACCCCAGCACGACAGCGGCAGAAGCGGCCAGTGACAGCAACAGTGAGTGGCTCCCGTTGTGGTTTGGAATGGGGACACAAGTGTGCGCGCTCTCTCTCTCGTGCAGTGTAATCTAGGGCTTGATTTTTTCTTCCCTGTGCCTTCCCATGCTGTTGTGGGGCAGAGTATGCTAGTGGGTATCATAATGCCCTAAGAGGGGATTTAGATGAGACCCTAGTAAGGCTGTCAGGGAATGCCTGGCAACTGGTGGGAGGGTTGTGGTGGGGCAGCATCCCTGGAGAAAAATTAAAAAGAAAAATAAGGCCACATCGGCTTACAGGAAGTTCTGACCAATGAGTTCCTGGCGATTCCTAGAGCTACCTGGAAGTGGTAGGGGTAGCTCTAGGAACCACTGGGAACTCTATGGTCAAAACTTCCTGTAAGTAGACAAGGCCATATCTTTATTTTTAATTTTTCTCCCCAGGACGATTGTGCTGCCCTGGCCCCCAGTTTCTGCCTGCTGATCAGGTGACCCTCAGTGGGGAAGTGCTGTAATTACCTTGGAGATCTTCTCGCTGTAAGTGGCGAGACCTTAGATCCTGGAACTACGGATATGAAGGGTCAGGTTCTACAATGCCAAGACCACGGCCACACATCCCGTAAAATCTACAGCAACTAATGATATGAAGGGTCATTGTGAGAGAGTGAACCACAGAGACCTGACTAGCTGTTAACCGCACTGGGTGCCTTTGACCTTGCATCGTTTATGTCGAACCTGTCTCGCAGGATTAACGTGAACATAACACGGGGCTATCTCTGTGTATGCTGCCCTGAACTCCTCAGAGATGGGGATACCGATGCAAGGGGTTGATAAATAACCTGTTAGGATTGTGTGCCTGGTGTTGAAAAGTCTGGCTGCTTAGTGCTTCCGTTCCTGTCTCTTTTCTTTCCCTCTTTCCTTCTGCTCACCAGGATGGGCCTCCTCCCAAGGTCCAAAGGGCCCCCCGGCGCCGCCGCAAGAAGCTGTCAGCAACACCACCAGTGCCCGCCGTGAGTGTAGGTGTGAAATAACCGACTTGGAGGCCCCTTAGAATCTGGCTGAATTAAACTGTGGGGAGTTGTAGCACAGTGTGCCATCACATGTCCTCCCAGGCTCCGTTTGTGTGTGGCGGTCACCCAAGAGAGTAACAGTGCCCATTCTCCCTCTCACTGGTTGCTTAGTGAGACGGCCGTGATGTACCGTTTCTGGGAATGCAGACTTGGTGGTGCTCGCAAGCCGGGAGCTGTCTGTGTTGCAGGTGGTTCTGGGAAGATACTTCTGGTTCTGGGAAGACAGAATTGTGGCGGGGACGGCAAGGTCTCTTTTGGCCAAGTGGACAAGAGGTCTAAAACACTGGGCTAATGCACACGACAGTCGATGTGCATTACTGGCTGGTTTGTGGGTGGGTTTCTCTCTCGTTAGCTGAGCTGAGGAGCAGACGTCAGCACAGCCCTGAAGAGGAAAGCAGGAGCATAAACCCTTGCCAGTTTGGTGCCAGCTTGCCAGTTTGGAGCCAGTTTGGTGTAGTGGTTAAGTGCGCGGACTCTAATCTGGGAGAACCGGGTTTGATTCCCCACTCCTCCACTTGCACCTGCTGATGTGACCTTGGGTCAGTCACAAGCTCTGGCACAGCTGTCCTTGAAAAAGAGCAGTTTGTGTCAGAGCTCTCTCAGCCCCACCCACCTCACAGGGTGTCTGTTGTGGGGAGGGGAAGGGAAAGGAGTTTGTAAGCCACTCTGAGACTCCGAGTGAAGGGCGGGATATAAATCTAATCTCTTCTTCTTCTTCTTCTTCTTCTTCTTCTTCTTCTTCTTCTTCTTCTTCTTCTTCTTCTTCTTCTTCTTCTTCTTCTTCTTCTTCTTCTTCTTCTTCTTCTTC